ATCGAACCTCCTCCTTTGCCGCTTGCTATTCCATGTGTCATAAATTTCGTTCTATTCCTTCGGTGTACTAGAATAGTAACGTGAAATGGAAAAAAATCTCATCTCGTTTCGTCTCGTCTCGCTGGACGATGAATGTTTCCAATCGATCAACATTTACAAAAATTCTTACAACATTTTTAAACGACCAATACTGCTGTCAAGTTTAACGTGATTTATTTTTGTGTTCTTTTTTGTTCATAAAATTTATTACTATTTATTAAAATTGAAATATTTTAATCTTTATTTATAGTTAGGTTTTTTTATTGATTATTCTCACTAATTAAGTTATAAGTGGTTTCGTTAAATATTGATTAATACACAAATGAACAAAATTATTTGGTATTGTTATAAGAATAACCTATTATTTATTAGAAATTATTTATTCTTTTGAAAGAGTATTACAAATATATGAAATTATTAATTATTTAATTATTAGTATATTACTATTAAAATATAATAATATAATATTTATATTAATATTAATTATATAAATTATATTATTGTAATTTAATTTTATGTCATATATATTATATCATTATAATTATATTATTTTACTGTAATAATATAATAATATTATTAATATTAATTTTTATTAATAATATTATTTAATAATATCATTTTATAAATGTATATATTAATAATATATTATTAATTTAATAATATTATTATAGTATAATTAATATATTATATATTATAATATATATTATTATATTAAAACAATAATGGTAATATTAATTTAGTTAATATTATAATAATAATAATATAAGTATATTATAATATTTTGTAATTAATATAATATTTAATAAATTATAATTTAATATTTTAAATATAGTAATTTAAATTATTAACATCCATTATTTTATTATTAATAACTTGATAATTGGTCGTTACTTCGGACCGATAAGGGTTAATATCTAATAAAATAAACTCAAATTTTTTATATAATATATGGCAACATTGAACCGTTTGCAGACTAGCATTAGTTATCTATCTAACTAAATATAACCAAATTGTTTAGAATGCAAAAGAATTAAATTATAAACAAAAATTCAACACAGTATTTTTTTTCTACAAATGTATGCTAACAATAATATTAAAAGTAAATCACAAAATAAAAACTGTAATAGTCAAGTAACAAAATATTGATTTAATCAAACAGTTTTTATTATAAATCCAAGAATAAAATCATCTTGATCTTGATTAAATGACTGGTAATAAGATTGGAATAAGGAAAAATCATGGAATGTTAGATCAAAATAGAAATGGTTCTGACAGAATAAAAAGATCATCAATTATCACATGGGCTTGCTTTCTTCATATAGGCAGAGAGCTATTTTCTAAAAGAACGATCTCGCTAGCTTGTGGAATATTATTCAGAGCATTAGACGTTCTCTCGACCGCGAAGAATTTCCATAAAACCGCTATCTGGCATCGAAGACACCGTAACCTTCGTCTCCTTCTTTACACGCATACAAACACACACTCACAAATACAACCAACATCCATCCAACATAAATACACGTAACAAACAAACAAACAAACAAACTTATACGAATATACTTTTTATCTATACTGTATTTCTTTCTCTCTTTCTATTACTTTATCTATCTTTGTGTTTTTGTACATTTTTATCTCTCTCTTTCTTTTTTTCGTTTTTTTTTCCTTTCTCTCTCTCTCTCTCTCTCTCTCTCTCTCTCTCTCTTTCTCTCTCTCTATGTCTTCATATTTTACCTCTCCTCCCCTTTTTCGATCTCTGCTTTTTTCCTCAGAAAAAAAGTATGTAAGACGAGCTTCTTGCTTGGGTAAGAGAGAGACTCTGTGTCGTTCTTGCCATTGTTACACGTGTTTACGATCACCTGAAAAACGTGAACGTCTCGTATACGTTGCCGCTTTTATACTTTCTTACTCTCTCAACCTTTCTCTCTCTCTCTCTCTCTCTCTCTCACTCTGTCTTTCTGTCTACGGATATACACGTTCTGGCACGTTTATACGACAAGTGCATCGGACGATATAGAACGATACGTGAGACGTGTATTTCGTTCAGAATTATATCTCTATTAGAAAGAAAGAGAAAGAAAAAGAAAGACAGAAAGAGAGAGAGAGAGAGAGAGAGAGAGAGAGAGAGAGAGAGTGAAACTCTTCCTTGTACTGCGCTTTATCCTCTTTATACTTTTTTCATTTTCTTTTCGCGAGACTTATTCTCGCTAACGCCATAGTATGCTATAGTAAACGTCCGATGAAAATATTATACCATAGGAAATTTGTAAAACAGAAGAAGCTTCGTATATTAATCGAAACCGTGAGAGGTTGTTCGTAAAGATGGTAAAAAAAAATATATATATATATATACATACATAGAAGAAGAAAAAGAAAATAAGATAGAGAAAGGCAAGCAAGCGCCATTATGCTAATTTGAAGATCGGACATGTAAACGATCCACGTTCGAGACGTTCTACCGGACTCAAGGAAGAATTGTTCTGAAGAATTCGTCCCTTGGGTATCGCGAGAAACCCGTTTGCGATTCGATTTGGGGTTAGCCGAAAAATCCTTGAAAGCAGTATGTGGCCGCTCGTATTTTCGCAAACGATGCAAAAAGAAAAAAGGTACGTGAGCGTGGACCACGCGAACTTGTTCGAATTCTCCGAGGTATCTTACTCTAAACGTAGTCTTATATAAATGAAGCGGGAAATTTAAACAACCAATTTGATGTTGATGCTCTTATTAGTTTTCGTATCTATTAAACGAGGATGAGAAAGTTATTTAACCTTTCAACGTAATTATCTTCTAAAATAGTTCATAATAATTGAATAGAATGAAAACTAATTAGGGGTATTTTCTCTATATCGTAATTAAACATCAAAGTGATCGATAATTTATCGTAGAAAAGAGGATTCGCATCGTGGAGAATCTATTTGCATTGAGTGAAATTCTATGACCTTTTGAATAGAATTGAGCTTCTAGTGCATGTTAATTGCTAAGTCATGATATAAATATCCATTTTCCTTTAGGGCTAAATGAAAGATACACACACCTTCATGGAATACCACCTATGCCAAAACAAGATTCTATCTCTTGTCTTTAGGTATTAGATAAAATTAGTAAGCCTTTGGCAAAATGTGAAAACATCGATCTAGAATAGAATAACAAACCCACCTTTGATAGTATGTAGGGGTGAAAGTTGAAACTATGTTACGGATATATACCTATATATGTATTTTACGTCATTTCAAAGACTATAAGAGAGAAAAGTATATAGTCAAGGCAACGGATGACTGCTTCCCCTAATCGATTTTTCTACGATATCGTTTGAAGAAAGATTGAGTGGAATTAATGATAAGAGTTAGTGATTAATCGTTCGATTCTTTTGTAAGAGATTAAATGTTAGATTTAATACACATATACAAGAGTCTATTCAATTAGTAATTTATCACTGTAGAAACCACGGCGTTCCCCTTTTTTAAGAAGACGTCAATGTTCAATGCTATCGTGCTTTCTACTATAACCGCACGTTCATCTTCCGATTATTATATATCGGAACGTAAGGTACGCAGTTTGTTTACAAGCCGTCTCGCGCAGCTTCACGTAGATGCCTTTGTTATCGCCAGCTCTTTCGTTCCATAACCGTCCGAAGGGATTCGTGCCGATGATGTACGAGCCGGCTTATGGAGAAAAGCCCTTTTTTTCCCCCTCGTTACTCCAAAGTGCGCTGCCAACTTCCATAATAATTCTTTCCCGAATATCATCATTGCGCCTTTCCTCTTCGTTATCGTCGATTCGATGCTTTTCTTACGATCTATGTGGTTATTCGTTTGCGGTATGATAAATATTTCTTCTATGAAAAATAATGGGGAATATCGTATATTTTCTAAATGTTTTTTTTTCCTTTTATTTTGTTCTTTTTCTTTGCAACTGCACATGAGAGTATAAATCTTTTTTTATTTAAGGTTTCTTTTTTTTTCTTAATATTAATAATGACAGAAGAGATTGTAGATTTATTGAAATATATTATTTGATGAAATTTATTTATAAATTTATGATTTATAATATTTATGGAGAAAATATTCCCTATATGTCATTGTCATCTTTATTATAGCAATCAATATTTTTTTGTTATAGAATATATATCAGTTTGTTGATAGAATAATCAAATAACTTTAAACGACAAAAGCTAAAACTTGTAAAAATTTATTTTTACATCTATAGGATCATCAGATAATAATATTAATTATATCAACTGAATAAGATTATTAGCAGTCGGTATCTTATCATTGATCTTACCATTTGAGTAACGTGGTAAGCAGAAAGTGATATTACCAACCATTGCTTACTTAAAAACCTACTTTTACCATTGCCAATAAGGCAGGTATCTAGCAAACCAACTAATGGTAAGTCAGATTTTTTTTTAAATAAAATTTTTTTTTTAAATGAATTAGGAAATACGAAATGAAAATACTTGAAATGTAACAACAAGTAACAGTTAGTAGTCTAACATTTATTGCCGAATTACACGATTAAGTACATCGTATTTACAGATGGATAGATAGATTTCTCACGTTCACAAATGCAAAAACTAACGCAACGTCGCGTTCTTACAGCTTAACGTATTTACATGTCCCTGAGGCTTAATCTACAATATCGTTCACACATTTTTATTGTACAATATCAATTGCTCTATGATTCGAAAGCAACGATCGACTCGTTTATAATCTATTCAACCTATTTGGGTATCACATATCTCTACGTGTATTTACAACGTACACAGTGGTAATCATTATCACAAAATACGCAAGCTATAAGTTGATAACTTCTTAAAATTAATGGACTGTGTGCTAATGGATTGACGATCGCGTATTTACTCAAACATTATTTTTTGTTTTGTTGTTTTTTTGTTTTTTATGTCCATTTGATAATATATCAACGCATCATTGTGATTATATTATTATAAGGAATGATTATTTTTCTTCGAGAGGCAGTTTTATTATCAACGATGCGAGAAATATTATCGATCTTTAAAAGTTTTTACCAAAGTTTCGTTCTCTCTCTTTTTTTTTTCTTTTCTTTCATAAACGGGATTAGATACAAAAATTATTGTCATTGTACTGTAACTTAATAGGATAATCTACTATCTATGTATAGAGTATATTATAGTGTAAGAGTAATATTATGCGACAGCACACATTATATACTTATATCGATTTAATCCTGTAATACAAACGACACGAAGCTTTACAATTGGTAAGGACGTTTCGTACGATCGTCATAGATCCTCGATGACACAAAAAGACTTAATAGGTAATAACTTAAAACAAGTTTTTTGGGAGCAGGGGATGGGTGGGGGAAGAGGATCATTACACCGGCTAGATAAACTCTACTTCGTCTCTCCTTCGTTTCTCATAGATTTTTTTTTCTTTTTACCCCCTTTTCATAATCTAAGAGCTTAAATTTACGATATTTTTCATCTCTCTGGAGACTTTAAACGATCATAGGTAATCTCGTACGATCTTCTGGGAGAAACGAAAAACGCACAAAGCGTGGAACTCTTGATTAAAGATTTCCTAGTTCCTTTTTTTCTTTTCACTTTCTTCTCTTCTCTTCTCTTTTCTTTTCTTTTCTTTTCTTTTCTTTTCTTTTCATTTCTTTTCTTTTCTTTTCTTCCTTTCATTTTCGTATGTTTCTGGAAAACTTGCCATTTTGCAATTCGAAAGTTCGAAGTTTCCAACGTGAATCGACAAAATTTGCGATTCGTCATAGGAAAGGAAAAACCCATAGAATGGAGAAAAATCTATTCGTTCTCGAAAATTTGTTGAAATTCTTTAACGCCGATAGAAGGTATGACAACGCGATAGAAAAGGGTCTACGTTGTCGAGTGTCCACCAAGTACGATACCAACGTATACGATGATACCAAGATTTACGTAGATCTCGTGACGATGAAAGCACGAGGATGCTGTTGCCGATTGAAAATCCAGTTGCTCTTCCCCACTGTCCGAATTTCCTTTCGACATGGGCTCGTCCCTCATACCGGCAGCTTTTTTCTCGTTACTGTGATCCAGTTTCCAAGAATTTTTCGAATCCCGTCTAGTACCTGGTCGTCTCGTCGTTGGTTGCCTGTCAATTCCTAGAAAAAGAAAAATAGAGAAAAAAAATGCAATAAAAAAAAATATATATATATGTATAACGTTCGTGATAAAACAAAAAAGAATTGAAAGGAACAAAAGAGTACGACCAACAACAAAAAATATATATATATATATATATTTAAATTTATTCAACAAACTAATTTAAATATCACACGAGAAAAAGAGAGAAAGAGAGTAAAAGAGAGAGAGAAAGAGAGAGAGGGAGAATAAAAGTTAAAAAATCAACCTAAATGTCATTTCACATCGATAAGCTTTTATCCATGTTGTCGATAACTTGTCGTTATTTTCTCTCTCTCTCTCTTTTTCTCTTTTTGTTTGTTTCTTTCCTTCTCTCTCTTTCTCCTTTTAAATATGCTTTTACGAGCATAACAAATGTTTATTTTAACGAAAGCATTATCTGCGAACAATAATGCATAGTATTCGGACCATGAGGGATTTAGGCCATTTGCGTAACGAATATTAAGTTCGATTGCGAATAAATACGAGAAGAGCTTTTGATAGAAATTATTAAAATTCGACGTGGTAGACGTAGAGTGACGAGGAATACGAGACTCAATCGTGCGAATGGAGTTAAGTATATTGAAAAAAAAAAAAAAAATACAAATAAAAAGCATGGAAATAAATATAATCACAATGAATTGACGTTTCACGATGACCAAGCAAGTATTTAATAATAGTGATAGTAATAGTAGCTATAATCTTATTAAGGATTATTAAAATCACAAAGAAATATTTTATCGAATAATATCTCATGGTTTACTAAAACATTTCTATTGGTCGTCAGGTTTTTGTTATTGATGATTTTCACTAAGTTATAAGTGGTTTTGTTAAATATTATTCAACACAAAAACAAACAAAATTAAGTACCATCAGAATAATTTATTATTTATTTAAAAAATTCGTATTTTTTTTTTTTGAAGGAGTACTATAAATATCAGATATTATTAATTATTTGATATTTTTATTATTTCTAAGTCACTTCCCACGTTACTAAAAAGGTTAAAAAAACTGTTAACCCTTAGTGGTCGTCAGGTTTTTTTTTAATTACAATTCTTACTAAGTTATAAGTGGTTTTGTTAAATATTGTTCAACACACAAATGAAAAAAATTAAGTACTGTAAGAATAATTTATTATTTTTTAGAAATTATATATTTTTTTGAAGTACTGCAAATATATGAAATTATTAATAATTTTATATTTTTATTATTTGTAAGTCACTTCCCACGTTATTAAAAGGGTTTAAAAAACTGCTAACCCTTATCGGTCGTCAGGTTTTTTTATTGATGACTTTTACTAAGTTAAAAGTGGTTTCATTAAATATTGTTCAACACAMAAATAAAATAAAATAGTTCAGTATTATAAGAATAATTTATTATTTATTAGAAATTATTTATTTTTGTCAAGCAATACTACAAATATATGAAATTATAATTAATTTCATATTTTTATAATTTGTAAGTCACTTCCCAGGTTACTTACGATCGATAAGGGTTTACAAAAACGAATGATGTATAATTTGATCGATCTCGTTAACGAGAGAATGCGAAAATAATAAAAAAAAAGAAGGTAGAAAAATCGCTAAATGAAATAACATTAATAAAGTTTGACGAAAGATGACAGTGAATGAAGCTCAATCAACGTTGAGTAGTCGACATTATATAGATATATCGACATTTTCAAAGGTCTCCTCAATAAAAGCCGTAGCAGCAGCAGCTGCTGCAGCTGCACCAGAACCAGCATCACCAGAACCAGCACCATCAGTAGCAGCAGCAGCAGCAGCAGCAGCAGAAGCAAAAGCAATGCCAGCAACCAAGGCTTGTTGTCGATCACGTTTATAGAGATAACCTTTAACGTCCGTCGAATCGTACACCGTGGGAAGCCACTTTGCGTCGAATCGTGTTCGAACGAACGAACGAATGAACGAACGGGGTGAAAATGGCGAATCGAGGAGATAGATATTGGGTAAAACCTGTCGACGAGTAATAACCGGGGAAAATAATCGCCGAAGCTACTGGACTTTACCAGCACGATGCTTTACTGCTTTGACGTATTGGAACGTCGTCCGGGGTACGAACGTTTTCCACAAAATCCCTGATAGATATAGAAAGGAATATAAAGAGAAAGAGAAAGGCTAAAAGATAAAGAGTGATAGAGATAGATATATAGAAGGGGGGGGCTTGGTTGGTTTAGAGGGTGAGGATGAGAGAGGAGGGCTCTTGTCACTTGCACGCTTCGTCGAAATGTCGAGAGTTCTGCAACGATATTAATTCCTTCTCCACATTCGAGGCATTCGCGAAAACGCGCGTTTTCTAATTAATCGTTTGAAATAACAGATGCTCTCTCTCTCTCTTTCTCGTAACCGCGGACGGAGTATTTCTATTCGTTCGATCGGATAAAAGGGAAGGGTACGTAAACCTACAGGGCAGTCGGTAGGTTGGTAGGTAGGTAGATAGAGAACGTTCAACGATCGACTCCATTGTGGTCGATCTACTCGAATAATAAAAAAAAAAGAAAAATACAGAAAAAAATCTCTCGGCATGCTTTTTCATTTAACACTCGAGCTTTGCTCTTTTTTTCTTTTTTTTTTTTTATTATTTTTCTTTTTTTTTATCTTTTCACTTCTCTTCCTTTTTTTTTTTATTTTGTTTGTGTTTATCGACAATATCATCTAACGGCGAGACTTCCAAAAGAATTTTTACGACCAGAAAGGGAAAATTGTATTTTCTGCCCATTTTTATTTATTTATTTTTTTTCTCTTTTTGGTTTCTTTTGGTATTCAATTGATAACAGATTTTCATGATCGGTGGGGGGAACGACGCATGGTTTAATTGATATTTTATGTTATGACAGAGCGAAGATCTATTACTTGTTATTGATTTTATTCGATTTTTGTCAACCTTCGTCAGGATTAAAACAAGCACGTTCTTTCTCTCTCTTTCTCTTTCTCCTTCTCTTTCTCTATCTCTATCTCTTTCTCTCTTCTTTGGTCAGATTGGTAAATAAAATTCAAGAGTGGAATCTGTTTTAATTGAAATTTCAATCGAAATCATATTTTGCCTTCGATTATTAAACATATACATATATGTATCTGTATACATTTATATATATATTGACGATGGGAATCGTATAACTTATGAATATGTGAAATATCCATTGAAAAGTTTTAACGCGTTAATTGCATTTAGATTTTATTATATTAAATACGATATTACTATTTGTTACAGTATAAAATATAATGAATAATAATATCTCGTATTATCTTCAAAGAAGCTTTCATTTACAGGCTTGCATCGAAAAGTCGATTTTAATCTATGGATTTTTCACTTTGTTTTTTAAATCCTCATATATATACATATATTAATATATATTTCGTATCTATTAACATTCATATAAATTTTTACTGTAGATTATATTTGATGTTGTGTTGTTGAATTAATAATAAATGTGATTTGGAAACAATTTTATTAGAGATGAACAATATGCATTTTGTTGTTGTGTTGTTGAATTATTAACAAACGTGATTTGGAAACAATTTTATTACAGATGAATAATATGCATTTTGTTGTTTTGTTATTGAATTATTAACCAACGTGATTTGGAAACAATTTTGTAAGAGTTAAACAATATGCATTTTGTGTTGTTGAATAATTAAAGAACGTTATTTGGAAGAAATTTTATTAAAGTTGAACAATATGCATTTTGTTATTGTGTTGTTCAATTAATAACAAGTGCAGTTTAGAAAACAATTTCGTTATAGTTGAACAATATGCATTTTCTTGTTACGTTGTTGAATTATTAACCAACGTGATTTTGAAACAATTTTATTACAGTTGAACAATATTCATTTTCTTGTTACGCATTTGAATTATTAACCAACGTGATTTGGGAACAATTTTGTAAGAGTTAAACAATATGCATTTTGTTGTTTAATAACAAACGTGATTTGAAAACAATTTTGTTAGAATTGAACAATATGAATTGATCTGTATGCAAAAATATAGAAAGAAGAAGAAGATAAAGAAAAAGAAAAGGAAGAAGGACCATTAGAAACGCATCAAACGTTGAGCTCACATTTATTAGCATACCATTGTTTCATCTCCTACGAAGCGTAGCGTGGTTTCATTAATGAATGCGTCGGCGTAGAAGGTTAAGATGTCGAAACTGCTCTTCCGTCTTACTGCAATTAGCGGCTAATGCTTTCTCTAATAATACCACGAGATTCCTAATCGTTCGAGCGTGAAGCAATTAGCGAATAACTCGAAACACATCTCGCCTATATATTATAACGTTTTCTTTTCATATTTTCTAAATAAATTAATATTGTTACTTCGATTGATTTTATCTAAAAAGAAAATTGTATAAACGTTACATGTATTAGAAAAACAGGAAAGGATACATGGAATTTGATATTTTACGATTTAAAAGAGTTAAATCCCTAAAGTACTCATAGTCTGTGGATAATCTGAGAAACTTAGAGATGCAATTTATTTTTAAATGAATGAATATCGTTACTTCGATTGATTTTATTTAAAAAGAAATCATGTATTATATATAGGATACGCCAGTATTAGGAAGAAACAAATAAGAACACTTGGAATTCGATATTTTGCTATTTAAAAGTATTAGATCCTTAAATTACTCGTAGTCTTTGGATAATCTGAGAATCTTGGAGTTGCAATTTATTTTTAAATTAATTCATATTGCTATCTCGATTGATTTTATCTACCAAAAAATTATGTATACAATACATGCATTAGGAAGAAACCAAAATAAATACGTGGGATTCGACATTTTGCTATTTAAAAGTATTTGATCCTAAAAATACTCGAAGATTAGTGCATAATCTAAAAAACTTGCAGTTGCAATTAATTTTTAAATGAATGAAAATTGTTACTTAGATTGATTTTATCTGAAAAAAATTACATACGCAATACATGCATTAAGAAGAAACCATAAAGAACACGTTGAATTCGATAT